AACCTAATGGATGCTTTAAGTACTTTCTGTACTTCTATTTTTATAACTTTGTCTTTGTTAACTTTTATCTTTGTTCTTTTGTTTTTAATGTGACTGTAATGGATGCATGAGGTGTCTCATTTGGACGTCGCAACTCAAATCCTTGGATCCATTATCCATTTGTATTCCTGTATATCAATACACAAGCTGCACACACATAATCCGATGCACATGTATGTAATGTAACAAAAGTCTAGGATATTAATTAACTATCACCCTAGCCTCTATCTCTTCCATTTCTCCGAACAGCTCTAGATTGATATACCAGATCTCACCCCACCACCCTGATATCTCGTTTCAGTTCATCAAAAATATAAGTGAACATATTACTTCTATAGGCATATTCATTCCAAATCCTCTGGGATCTCTAAAAACTGTAAATATAAATCTTTGACTCACCCACCAATAGCTAGATCCGCTAGGGCATCACCATATATAGGTGTGTAATTCACTCATTTTCACTATCTACACATTTTAGCACTAAATTAACTAAATTAATTTTCCTCAAGATTAATAAAGAACATAGAAATCAAACAATTAGCAAATGTAAAGTATATTTACCCACAGTCCTTTACATTATTCTTAATTCCTACTCGCTAGAAGAGATTGTTTTTATTGGAGAAGAAATAACAGGTTAGTAAAGTCGCTACAAGAGTACGATAAGAGCTGGATAAAGAATTACCACTGTACTATTTTTCAGTATTTTTGATCATATTGTATGACAGAGAATGTATCAACATTCAGTCCTGTTACCTAAATTATTTTTTACATGTTTTAAAAAATGTAAAAAAAACTCATAGAGATAGAAACAGAAGGAGAAACCTTGGAAAAACTAAATAAATTGGCCTGAGATTGACCGTCACACATTTTGAATAGATAATGTGTGAAAAAAGGCAAAGAATAAAGTTTAATTTTCTCTCTCTCTCTCTCTCCCTCTCCCTCTCTCTCCAGAGTGCAGAGCCAAGGTGTCTCGTTCTACCGCCCCTCCAAAAACCACAACTCCCAAGACTCCTAGCAGCTCCGGTCTCTCCACCTGCAAGACTCCCCCCAGAGGCCCGTCCAGAACCAAGTCTCCTGGCCCAGGTGGGTGTGAGCCGATGGGTAAATCCCTGATCTCTAAATCACCCTGAAACCATCAATAGCTATGATTACCTGATTATTTTGACCAATCAGACGGTTCCTTTTCTCTTGTTTGTGTATGTAGCCAATGAGGGCTCAGGATCGCAGTCAGCTGGGAAGTCGGCCAGGTCCAGCCCCTCCCCCACCAGCCCCGGGACACGACGCAGCCTCAAGGTCAGAACAGCTTCTCCAAATATGTTTTCTATATTTCTTATTAGCCACAACGTTTTAGCCATGCTAGCAGCAGTCTAGAGCTCTGGTTCCAGCAATGGACCCCTTTTCTATCTTTTAGTAATCTGACTCAGTGACATTTTTTATAGATATTTTTTATTTTATATTTAAAACTGTACTATGAACCCAAACAGTGAACTCAGAAACTGCCAGAAATTTGTGTAAAACGTGATTTGGATGAATTTTGAGCCGATTATTTCCTGTTTATGGAACTTCTGATACGATTCTGTCTGTATTGTGGCTCTAACAGTTACCGTAGAATGAGCGGGTCCTCTTTCACGGAGTCCGCCACGTTGAACAGTAGCCCAGAAGGGACAAAAACAAACAGAACACTGACTGTAGATAGGAGTGTTTTATAGCCACCATAGTTTCTCCTAGGGCAGGATGAAGTGGAGCTCTGAACCACTAGATGTCACTAAATAATACACACTGGACCTTTTTAACAGCAACAATAACATGTACGATATATACATATATATTTATCTAATGTATCTATTTATCAATAATATGTTGGAATCATGTTACTATGAATTTTCAGACCAAAAAAAACACTTTAAAAAAATTATCAATAATTTGGATGCCCTCCTGCAGTAACTCTGTGGACCTCCTAGGGGTTGCGGGGGACCCCCTGTTGAAGACCCAGCATTTAGACTTTAGAAGTTTCCTTTTCATCTTGTTCTTTGAATCTGGAATCAGGACCTCATTATTTTCTCTTTCTCATCCTGAGTTGCTCCCTCACTTCTTTCTTTCTCTCTCTAGATGTCTCCCCACCGCACTTCCTCCACAGATGTAAACGGAGAGGCCGAGCAGGCGGACGAAACTGTCGAAGGTGTGTGTGCTTCTGTTTTAATATTTACAATTAAAACGGTCTTTTTAAAGCTTTTATATTTAACATTTAATGAAATGCCCACATCCCAAGCACTGACTGAAAGAGCTTTGAGCTTTAGAATGACTTGGTCCGGACATTTTTAAAGGCAACTTTTTGATGAAAGAGCTGCTTAAACCTAATCTTTATGACACAGTAGTTCAGAGTGTTAGACAGCTACTTCAAGGTTTAGAGGCTTTGGGGGGTTTTAGGCTTAGTATCTAAGTGAATTTTTAAAAACAGCATCTCAAGAAAATACAGAAGAACCCTAAAAACCTCCTCACTCTGCAGCTTTGAAAGCCTCGAACCTCTGGTTGAACACACAGATTGAGAACTTCTGAAGCAGAAAAGACTCTGTGGCTCAAAGTGTGAAGAGGTGACAGAAGGTCTTTGAGCTTCTGGGTTCAAGAGTGAATTTTCAAAGCCGACATCTTCATGAAAACTGTTACGCAGCTGCTCCGTTACGTAAAAGGTCACGGGCTAAGACTTAAATCATGTCCCTTCTCGTCCTCACAGTGAACGGTAATCGATCCGTTTCTTCCTCCATCATCAACGACAAGTACCAAGTCGGTAAAGTGATCGGGGACGGGAACTTTGCTGTAGTGAAAGAGTGCGTGGAGAGGTAAAGAACATCAGAACGTACAATTTAATGAAAATATGAATCATAAAAACATTGTGTTTATTTAAACAGAGTATTTAAAGTACAAACAACAACATGTATGACGTATAGCTGGTGTAACAGCCCATTCATATTTGCATACATTTCAATGCCTTTATTATTGCAGAAGGAAAAGCAAAAATTAAATACGATAATACAAGAAAAATCTGTATTTTTATATTTGAGACCACTTGTCATGTTTGTTTAAAAAAATATTAATGATCTTTTTCTGCACATCAGTTTATTAGGAAATCGTTAAAAAGGAATATTTCATCATAAAATGATAAATCAGAGCCGTATGGTTTCCTACCAAAATAATAATAATACATTTGAATTTAAAACTACAAATTTTAAAACAATACAGTTGATGGACTATTGGACAAGTTTCTGTTGTTTGATTGACAGGTCGACGGGACAGGAGTACGCTCTGAAGATCATTGACAAAGCTCGCTGCTGTGGGAAGGTAACACTGGTTTATAGCATTCATATTAACATTATTCTATTCTTTATTTATGCTGCATCAGTTGCAAACATTGGCTCATGTGACTAATGTTCACCACACAGATATAATCCCAACTCCACATTAGTTTCTCATAGTGAAAAGCTTCATCTTTCCATTAGAAACCTCCATAAAAAGGTTTAGAGCATCTCATTTATAGTCTGATTTGTGTTATTCCACACCCATTTGTTTGCATATGTAGTGCCCCCTAATGGTTGATTGGAATAAAAATATATGGGTGTGTTTCAGGTGGACCCTGTACGTTTTGTGATGATTGACTTATTTCTATGTATGTGCTGAGCCACACTCACCTTGAGGTTCAATGGTCAATACATGGAAAATTAAATAAGATATTAGCAAGCCTTCATCCAATTTACGAGATGTCAAAAATGTGTTCTTCAAAAAATTCTAAATGAAAGAAAATCTAGTTTAGTGGACTTCAGTGGTCCATGAGGCTTTTTGTACTTGTGTGTTTAGTTTTAAGTCAATTTGAATCAGTGTGAGAGGCGTGGCCTTTCCAATGATGGGTTTTTGGGCCTTTTAATGACAGCACCACCATCATGGATCTTGGAAAGCACATGCACACCATTTCCAGTAATTGGGCCAAGTTGAGCCATGTTTCCCAGCTGACGACAGTTTGAGCCGATGCAGCAGACAAAGGTTGCTTAAATACGTCTGATTTTAAAGCCCCGAATCAAATGTAGAGCGCACCGTGGGTAGTTCAGGGAGCTGGGAGATTGTAGAATTATCCACAGAACCTCAGCAGCTATTGAAGTAACAGCAACACCTGTGAACCTTACTGATAAATTGCGGTCATTTTGCAAAAATAGCCGGTAAAATATTCCGGACTGCACCTTTACTAAAGTTCGGCTTTTAAGTTTTGAGAAGTTACTTTAGGTTTCTATAAATATGTATTCGCCTTGAGGTCAGGATTTAATATTCTGTGTGTGATGGTGTTGCGTACGCAGTTCAGCATGAAATAATAATGAGTTTATCAAAATAAAATGTGTGTTTATGTGTGTGAACA